TTTGCATAAGTTTTTAAATTTTAATTTTTTGTAAAAGTTTTTATTTATTTGCGCAATTTTAAATTTTTACTAGTTTATTGTACGACTCTATATATGTTTGCAATTTTAATTTTCTACTGGTACAAATTTCTACTTTCACTTGGTGCAATTTTTTTATGTCATTGATTTTGTAGTAAGATTCTACATGGGTTTACAATGGATAATTTTTCATATAATTTTCTACATAGGTTTACAATGATTTATTTTGCATAGAATTCTACATGAGTTTGCAATGATTGATTTTTCATAGAATTCTACATGGGTTTGCAATGATTAACAACTAAGATTAAATTACGCTCTGTAATATATTAAATATAAATCTAAAATAGCAAGAAAGGCGTAAAAAGCCATAATCTCTAAAAACTCACCTTTAAAAAAAGGTAAAAAAAGGCGACCAGTTAAGGGCACGCCATTAACAAAAATTATTTATTGCAAACCCATGTAGAATCCTATCCTATTGCAAACCCATGTAGAATCCTATGAAAAATTAATCATTGCAAACCCATGTAGAATCCTAGGCAAAATTAACAATTGCAAACCCATGTAGAATCGTACCCATTGCAAACCTATGTGGAATCCTATGAAAAATTAACCATTGCAAACCCATGTAGAATCCTATGAAAAATTAACCATTGCAAACCCATGTAGAATTGTATTAAAAATTATCCATTGCAAACTTATGTAGAATCCTACATTGCAAACCCATGTACAATAGAATTGTATGAAAAATTATCTATTATAAACCCATGTACAATCGTAACAAAAGTAATGAAATAAAAAAAAAATTGCGACAAGTGAAAGTAGAAACTTGTACCAGTGGAAAATTAAAGTTGCAGACATATATATAGTCGTATAATGAATCAGTAAAAATTTAAATTTGCAAATGTAGAATCGTACCATAAAAAAACTTATCTTTTAAAAAAAAAAGATAAACAAGATGCCAAGTCCATTAATATAAAATAAAAAGAAATAAAAAAATTGTAGTTAAAAAAACTGGGCGCGCTGCTAAGTTTCAAAATTACAATGCACCTTAAAGTAACATTAATTAATTTAAACACAAAACATATTTTAACTGCAATGAGTTTAAAAATAACAATTTAGTTTTAATATCATTAGAATATTATTTAGCAGCGCGCCCAGTTTTTTTAACTACAATTTTTTTATTTCTTTTTATTTTATATTAATGGACTTGGCATCTTGTTTATCTTTTTTTTTTAAAAGATAAGTTTTTTTATGGTACAATTCTACATTTGCAAATTTAAATTTTTACTGATTCATTATACGACTATATATATGTCTGCAACTTTAATTTTCCACTGGTACAAGTTTCTACTTTCACTTGTCGCAATTTTTTTTTATTTCATTACTTTTGTTACGATTGTACATGGGTTTATAATAGATAATTTTTCATACAATTCTATTGTACATGGGTTTGCAATGTAGGATTCTACATAAGTTTGCAATGGATAATTTTTAATACAATTCTACATGGGTTTGCAATGGTTAATTTTTCATAGGATTCTACATGGGTTTGCAATGGTTAATTTTTCATAGGATTCCACATAGGTTTGCAATGGGTACGATTCTACATGGGTTTGCAATGGTTAATTTTGCCTAGGATTCTACATGGGTTTGCAATGATTAATTTTTCATAGGATTCTACATGGGTTTGCAATAGGATAGGATTCTACATGGGTTTGCAATAAATAATTTTTGTTAATGGCGTGCCCTTAACTGGTCGCCTTTTTTTACCTTTTTTTAAAGGTGAGTTTTTAGAGATTATATCATTCATTTTTGTATATGATATAATAACATTACCGCAATGCCATGACTCTGTGTATGTTTTACTGTTTAGACGTTTTGATGCTTTAATCAAAGATACTTGATTCTATATATATTTATACATAATTTAAGAAATATTTTCAATATCTTAAATCATTTCTTTCCTTATTTGCAAACATGTTTCAAATAATATCATAGCTTTAAAAGATATGTATTAGAACACGTATTATCATATTAGCACAAATGCGTAATATCATATACGATAAATATAAAATATATTTTATTACTGCATATATTACTTTAATGCAGTTTACTTTATAAAGTATCTCGTTCGAGTACTCGTTACTTGGGATCATATTATTGCTTTATATGATAATATAATTGTGTAAATGATATTTTATTGTACCGTATGATCATATAATTTTAATTGATCAAGTAAAATATAAAAAATATTTTTCTTATTAAATATATATATATATATATATATATATATAATTAGACTTAAAAGCTTGATTTGATTTACTAATATTTATCACGAACATCTGTTTAAGAGAGTTATGCCGGAATATAATTCTGTGATATGATCTATATTAATTTGATCAATTTTTTTTAAATAATATAGTAATAAATATTAATAAATATAATAAATATTAATTAATAAATATTAATAGATATTAATAAATTTATAATTTTATAGTATATAAAACTGAAGATATAAAGAAAATGGAATACAAATAAATATTTTTTTCCGTCAAGCTATCACTACATTTTGCACATGTCTAGTGGATTTTAGTAATTATCTTAATTATTTTATATCATATTAATATAATCATTTTTGTTATTATATTGACTTTTAATTTAATCATCCCTTTTATGAATCAAAATTTTGCAATGTAAAAAGACGAACATAACGTTGAATAGTAAATCGTAAAAATATTAAATGTGAACTTGTGTGCATGTATGTGTATTGCTATTTTTCATAAATATTAAAGTGATCACAAATTTTGTTTGTAACAGCTCTTTTCTCAAAACTCGACACATAAGCCTGAATAATACCTTTTTTCAACAATAGAAACTATATTATAGTGAATAAAGGAATACGCAAAAATTTTGTATAATGATATGTATTATGTATTATACATAATTATTCAAAAACGTTTGTTACAACATTTTATACTTTTCCGTCTTAAGAGAATATATATATTTATTAAACAAAGTTGTATATTGTACGTCCTGTTTCCCTTAAAATATCATAGAGATTAATTTAATAATCTTGTCACATTCTGTTGTAATTAAATATTCGTTATTATTAAGTCAATTACAATCGTGGTCATTTTAATATAATTAATTTTCAATTCTCACTCCTTTACAATTGATGCTGATTTTCGTTGGCCTACTGAAATTCTTCATTTCTAAGTGCAGCCAAAAATTTGCCACATATATGCTAGCATGGTTCGGTGATAGCAGAGTGTATACATATTTACTAGTAAAACCTGTAAGTTTTCCCGCGTATTTATATTTTGTAGCAATCAAGCAAATATGATCAAATTTCTCAGCAGACAAATTATATTCCTTCAACAATCGTTGATTATTTGCAATGCATGACGTGACCTGATCACGCTGAAAAAATATTAGTTATAAAACAGATGTAGTTCCTATTAGTTAATTATGTATTGCAGAATCATGCAAACGCAGCAAGACTAAAGAATATAATATAATAAATTGAATAATATAATTGTTCAATAAAAAAAAGATACCACTGAATTAATGTCAGCAGAAGGCTCTTGATGTAATTGGACTTGTCTGATGATATTACTTAGTGAATAAAGTTTATTATACATATCTACTGTCGCGAGTTCTAATCTATTTAATATAGAATTAAAATCGAGAGCATTATCGTTTAGCTTTTGCATTTGCTTTATTTGCTTATATACATCTTGGCAAAAATTTGAGTCGATTAGTAGAATATCCATTTCTTCCATACGCGTGGATTCTATATAATTACAACTAATATGTAACATGACATTGTAGGGAATGTAACCTACATACATGTTACATGCAAAGAGGTTACATGTCATCAAATCTGACATCTGATCTGACACATATACCTAACATCATGGATCATGGAGCGACATACTATCGCCGTCTGTTGTAAAACGTGCGAGATGGACATTTCCAATACATGCATCTATTCATGTGTTGTGTACGTGTGATATATGTGTGCGCATGTGTTGTATACGTGTGAATACGTGTAGCACGATACTACTATGTTTGCGTGGTCGATGATGACGGGGACGTTTCTTAAAAAAAATTTTTCATATTTCGACTTTGCAATTATATATCTCTGCTTACAAATCACGTAGAGCAGAAATAAAGACACTTTTATTATATAATTCAAACTCAATCTATCGATTAAGTCTAGTATAAACTCGATTGCTTCAGCCGTTATTGAGAATTTGAAATATTATAAAGACTCAAATGTCCGACTCGCGTTAAGATACACGGTGTCTCGGCTACGCCCTTAACTGGTCGCGAGACACTACCGTGTCTCTTGATACGCGGATGTTGCTGCGTACATTTCCAACGAAACTAAGTTTTCGTTGGAAATAAATCGTGCACAAAACACGTATTATTCTCGATGTATTACCAAGACTTAAAATTTTTAAGTCTTGGTAGTATACACGTCGGTGAATAGGCATCATTTAGAGTATAAGCAGAAAAAGGTATAAAATCAAAGGGTCTGAATAGCTCAGTTGGAAGAGCAGTCGCCCGGCAAGTGAAAGGTCTCGGGTTCGATTCCCGATTCAGCGACTTTCGGATCTATATTTTTCTCTCGCAATTATTTATTTATTTCCGTAGGGGGGTTAAGGATATTTGAAATTAAATCTGAAGTATGAGATTATTTCAAAAATTTTAAGTCTTGGTAGAACACCGAGAATAATACGTGCCTTGTGCACGGTTTATTTCCACACAACGAAAACTTAGTTTCGTTGAAAATGTACGCAGCAACATCCGCGTGGCTCTTTACGCCTTTCTTGTAATTTTAGATTTGCAATGATTAATTTTTCATAGAATTCTACATGAGTTTTGCATGGGTAATTTTTTGTTACTGGCATGCCGTTAACTGGGCGCCTTTTTTACCTTTGTTCAGAAAAACATCAAACAAAATTTTTCCAAAGTCTAAAACCGAAAACATTTAAAAGTTGTACAAAACTATTTTTTTTTGGTATTGTTAAAATATTTACTTCTTTGTTTGCCGGAATAAATTCTTTTAATTGTTTCGAATAATGTCCTGTCCATAAATCAAGCAGTAACAGACTTTTTTCTCTTTCGTATTTCGTCTTTAATTTTATTTCTCAAGAACTAATTTTCAGTGTGTGGCAGTCGGCATCACTCTTCGCTGCATGATGCCTTCCGCGACGCCGAGACCGCCACGACATCACATGTGGCTCAAAGATCGCACCCCGCCTCTGTCACGGTGCTGCTCGCCACTGCTCGAGTCCGCGTCCTCGATTGCCACGGATTCTGGCATTCCGCCCGAGCGCTGATCGACCAGGGCTCAGAGTCATCCATCATAACGGAGCGGTTGGTTCAGCGACTGCGACTGCCTCGTATGCCCGCCGCCGTCAGCGTCTATGGACTCGGCGAGAAACGGACGGGAATTGCCAAAGGCAAGGTAAAGCTTACCTTTCGAGCGCACAACGGTAAGTCGTCCAACTCCGTCGCCGCCTTGATCTTGCCGAAACTCACGCTTTTCTCCGAAGGATGCCGCCGAAGTCTGCAATCCTGGACACATCTAGAGGACCTGGAGCTCGCCGATCCAGAGTTCAGTTCCGCGGATCCAATAGATCTTCTGCTGGGTGCCGACGTCTACGGAGTAATCATCCGCCAGGGCCTGAAAAGGGGAAGTCCTCAGGAACCGGTGGCACAACAGACCTCTCTAGGATACGCACCATCAATGAGAATGCACGCGGCCAACGTATTTCCTCCAACCATTGCCAGGTGGAGGAAGACCTCACCTGTTTGGTGCGTCGCTTCTGGGAGCAAGAAGAAGTTCGTCGGCCGTCTCAGCTCTTCTCTAAGGCCGAACTAAAGTGCGAAGAGCACTATTGCCTGCACCATTCACGCACTGCCGACGGCTGGTACATTGTGCGTCTGCCCACGATTGAGCCTCTGCCGGACCTAGCAGGAACAGTTCGCTCCGCCCGCCGTGCTCTGCAACACACGGAGAAGAAATTTGAGAGAGACAGCGAATTTCGAACCGTGTACGCGGAATTCATGCGACAATACTTGGACCTGCGCCACATGATGCTCCTTCGTCGACAGAATCGCATCCGGGTGCTTGCTACCTGCCGCACCACGGGGTCTTGCGTCCGGACAGCACATCCACAAAACTGAGGGTCGTCTTCAACGGCTTGAGCTCCTTGCCAAACGGAGACTCCCTCAACAAATATCTTGCAACGGGACCGAATTTGCTTCCTTCACTGGCCGACATCCTGCTGCGTTGGCGACGTCATCGCTACGTCTTGGCGACCGACATCGAGAAGATGTATAGGCAGATCCTGGTGCACCCTGACGACCAAAGCCTGCAAAGGATATTGTGGAGAGAGAACGCTAACGACGAAATCAAGGAGTACTGGCTGGATACTGTTACTTACGGTCTATCCTGTGCTCCTTATCTGGCAATCCGTACTTTACGTCAACTGGCCGAGGACGAAGAACATCGTTACCCGAAAGGAGTCATTATTCTGCTGAGCGACGTCTACATGGACGACATCCTGACCGGTGCGGAGACCATGAAGGAAGCCGAAGTCATGCTACAACAGCTGATTGATATCTGCAAGGCGGGCGGCTTCTCGCTTAAGAAGTGGTCGGCAAACCACACGCTACTGCTGAACCAAGTGGGGCCCGACGACCGCCTTCAACGAAAGGCCAGATGGTGGCTGCCCGGCGAGAGTCACTCCACTCTTGGGTTACGCTGGCTACCCCGGAACGATCGCTTCGCCTTCGCCACCAAACGGATCAATCTATCGACCATCACCAAAAGGTCGGTACTTTCACTGACAGCAAAGATGTTAGACCCTCTCGGCTGGCTGTCCCCAACAACAGTACTAGCTAAGATCTTCATCCAGTCCACCTGGTTGCTAGGCCTCGATTGGGACGCTCCGCTGCCAATCGACGAAGAGAGGAGATGGCTACAATTCCAGAGCGAGCTGCCTGCTCTGGAAAACTTGCTCGTACCTCGATGGCTAGGAAGCTTGGCTGACTCACAGCGAAAGATCCACGTTCGCCGATGCCTCAGAGCGTGCCTACTCAGCTGTGCTATACCTGAAGACCAAAACAAAGGATATTACTAAGGTGGCTCTCTTAGCTGCGAAAACCAAGGTCGCGCTCTTGAAGCAAGTCTCCTTACCTCGGCTGGAGCTGTCTGCCGCCACTCTTCTGGCTTGTCTAGCCGCCCACACCGTACCGATCATTGGAGCAGACAAGACACCTCTTCATATGTGGTCTAATTTCACCGTCACGCTCGGCTGGATCCGTGGGCATCCCTCGACGTGGGCCATCTATGTGGCCAACCGGGTCAGCAAAATACAAACACTGATCCTGGACCCACTGGCATCACGTACCAGGTCGGAAAAACCCAGCGGACTGTGTTTCCCGGGGGCTCTATTCTAGCGAGCTGGTTGACCACCCGCTCTGGTGGCAAGGTCCCGTATGGCTAGCAGCGGAGAGCAGTCCTTGGACGACCAACAGCGAGGAGATGTCAGCAGAGGACCTCCCAGAGAGACGAGTCCGTGCTCACGTCGCCGCCGTTGCCGAGCTGAAGCCCGAATCGGAATTGCTGCTTCGCTACTCTTCGCTGAAACGACTGCTGCGGATCACTGCATGGTGCCGTCGCTGGTTGCTGATCCATCGCCAGCTCCGCCATGCGCAAAGCCAGTCTAGCGTGATCAGCGTCGACGAACTGACGGAAGCCCGCATCTCCTGGGTGAGGTTGATCCAGGCTAGAACATTTAAAAACGAGATTAGAAGGCTGCGCAATGGAACGCCTCTGCCGTCGCGAAGCTCCCTGCACAAACTAAATCCATTCCTAGACTGCGAGAGACTTCTACGCGTCGGCGCCTCAGAAACGCTCACCTGCAGTACAATGCCACTCATCCGCCAATACTGCCCAGCGAGTCGACATACACTCACCTCGTCATCGACGACCACCACCAGCGGACGTTACACAGCGGGACTCAGCTGACCTTGTGCTCCCTGCGCCAGGAGTATTGGGTCCCTCGAGGTCGCTCGCTGGTGAAGAGACACATCAGCCGATGCAGTAGGTGCACAAGATGGCGAGCCGCCATCCCACAGCTTCTCATGGGCGATCTCCTGGTGCCAAGGGTCACGCCAAGCAGGCCGTTTCTCCACACCGGCGTCGACTACGCCGGACCTGTTTGGCAGAGAACGTCGAAGGGCCGCGAACATAAAGCAACTAAAGGGTTCATTGTAGTCTTTGTCTGTTTAGCTTCCAGAGCCGTTCACCTCGACGCAGCCTCGGACTACTCCGCCGACGCCTTCATAGCCGCCTTGCGCCGACTCATCTCCAGGCGAGGTGTCTGCGCCTCCTTGTATAGTGACTGCGGTACCAATTTCGTGGGTGCTGACAGGCAGCTTGGCGCTCTCTTCTCCGCCGCCAGTGCCGACGGACACCGCATCGCCGCATTTGCCGCACAGGAGAAAATCCGGTGGCACTTCAATCCACCGACGGCACCGAACTTCGGCGGCTTGTGGGAAGCCGCCGTCAAATCTATGAAGCACCACCTGCGACGAATCATATGTAATGCAACCCTCACCTATGAGGAGCTGGCGACGCTGCTCTCTCAGATAGAAGCTTGCCTCAATTCTCGACCTCTGCAGCCCTTGTCCGACGACCCGGAGGACGTAGCAGCTCTTACCCCAGGTCACTTCCTGATCGATTCCGCTCTCTCCGCCGTACCTGAACCGTCGCTCAAACGAGAGCCGTCCCGGCTTTCACGCTGGCAGCTTCTGCAACAGATGAGGGACCATTTCTGGTCCCGGTGGGCCAGCGAATACTTACACACGCTGGCCCATCGGCCAAAATAGTCCCGAGTCAACCAGGAGGCTCGCGTCGGTCGGCTGTGTTTGCTCCGCAGCGAACACACTTCACCAACGCGGTGGCTGCTTGCGCAAATCACTCGATTGCACCCCGGATCCAACGGCCACGTGCGCGTAGTCGAAATCCGTACCGCGAGTACGAATTTAACGCGCCCCGTCAGCAAACTGATTTTTCTGGGCGACGGCAACGAAACTGCACAATAATTCAGCGTCATAAGTCTCACTCTTTTCTCATCGCAGCACAAAAATCATCTCTTCTTTGTCACTGCTCTATTCATTCCTCTTCATCGCCACTTCACTTACATCACACCGACCTACTGTTATCTCCTTTATCACTGCACTATCCTCATCATTACACTATTCGTATCATTATAATTCACGAGAGATCCGAATACCGAAATTGTCACGGTCTTCGCGACGCGTTAACCAATATGCGTCTATACCGTCACGTTCAAAATAAACAGTTGATCGATTCAGCATTCCTTTCGCGACATCAGTCGGAGCACGTGAGCTACACGTGTCTGTCATTTGCGAGCGCGTGAATAAGCGCGCGCCCCCACTCTCGCACTATAAAGTCGATTGCAGGTATACTGCAAGACGGGCGGAATGTTCGAAAATCGAACGTCTAAAAAAGCTGAAAGAAAAAACAATTAAAACATTGCATGCAAATTCATGCCGTACTCTCATTTCACACGCAGCATGCGTATAATTTATATTATAATACAGTCTATCAATTTCTATCTTAACATGCTGACGTTTCATATTATAAATAGCGCTCGGCCGCAAAGATATAAGTATACCCCGCGCCTACGAAAAATAAGCGCTTACATTAAAACACATTAAATTGTAAACACCGCGGTCGCGCGAGAGAAGATACAATTTAGTTCCCAATAATAACAAAACTACGATTTGGTGGAAAGTAAATAATTACAGTAAACGCTCTTTCGCCTTCAACCGAACGATAAAATAAGAAAAATATTCGCGAATATTCTAGAAATACAGGCCTATATAAACCTCCTCTCTCGTGACCGCAGCGCTCTTTTCCGATTGCTTGTCGCGTCAAGAGTGTGCTTCTACTTTACGAAAAAGATTGCTTGTCTTTTTCACGTTTAATTACCGTTGCTTGCGGATACTCAGTACTTTATTTTCAACACGGCTTTTCTCTCGGTTATTGTATTTTCTAATACGTGCGACTCGGCTATCTTTTGGTACATTCTGTGCGGTTTAAATAATTGTATTTTTGTGTTAATAGTTTAAATATATTTTGTTAACGATACGCGTGTGTCAAGTGCAGTGCTTCTCTGTCTTCTCGCTTTCGACCTCCCTATCCTGCTTTCCGTTGCGCACACCTTGTATATTTGAGATATTAAAATAAAAATAAAATAAAATATTAATCAAAAAAACAAAAAAAAATGAAATTAATCATTTGGAAAAAATAAATTTTACATTTGTAACAAAAGAACTTAAAATTGAAAATAAAAAAAAGTTATTTTAACACAAATTGCTATCGACATTGCACATCAGTTTGTACCATATTGCTAAAACAGAGTTATTAACGCAGAGTTATATAACGCAAAAGACCAGCAATTATTAGCCAAAAATCATTAAACTATCTATTGGAACATTACCAGAAAAGTTGTGTGCGGAAGACTAATAATTATTGTATTAAATATATAAATATGTATATAAAGACAAACATTAAATATTTATCGGTATTTGCTTTTGTAGGCTGTTGTGTGCCTCGGGTGAGACACAAGGTCGCGCCAAATTAGGATGAGGATCCGGGGCGTTGGGACTTATTTCGGGTTGTTGAAATAAACGCACTCCACTTTTTATTATTAAAACTTTTATTCAAGTAAACCGCTTGACTTTTATTTGTTTCACCACTGTTACACTTGTGCGTGTATTGGTTTAACGACACTGTTTAACTATAACTTCGCGTATCGCGCGCAACTGCGAAGGGATGTTATATATCGCACGCGGCTAGCGAGGTCGTTTAACTAACGACGCGGGAGCGTCTTGAGAGCGACTTATTGCGACTGCGACTGAGCGATTCGGCGCGTTTCTGCTTCCTTTTTATAATATCGCTTTTGGGGATTTCCTTGATCGGAAGGGGTGCCTAGCAACGGGCCTCTTCGGTCAAGGACCTAGGTGCAAGCGAAGCAGATTCAAAGTCCTTCTGCTTTGTTTGCACGTTGAGCAATTTCGGTTCCGCGCATATCTCGCAGCGTATGCGTTTTTACGCGGTCAGTGTCCGTCGTCAAGCGGATGTAACACGAGTAGCTATTTCTTAATAGTTATATCTTTGAGGGATATAACAAAGCGTTCGCGTGTGCTAACCATATTTTTATGGGATTAGAAATTTGTTCGTCTGTAGCATTTTTGTGTACTTTTCTTATTACACCTAAAAAAACATTTTAAAAAATAATTTTTTATTAATAACATTGAAGAGAAATATATTTTAGATTTAATTTGTTAGAATAATTAAAATATAAAACTTTATAAAAAATCTTTAAAAATGTTCAACTTTTATATATTTCTTTTGCTTCATTAAATAAAATAAATAATATTAAATATTATTAAAATGATATTTGTATGTGAATAATATTATCTTTATTCAACTTATAAAATAATTTTAATTAATTTAACAGTAATACAAAAAATACAAGTAATATAAATTTATATTCATAAATACTTTTTATTATTTATTACTTACACATGATTATTTTGCAGATATTTAGCTGCGAAAAAATTTCTTTTTTTTTGCTCCATACCAACTGTATTGCACTGCTAATTCATTAGAAAACAATTTCTTCATTATCCGTAAAGAAGAAGTTTTTACATCTTAACTTGTCACATGAGTCAATTGTTTGATCTAAAATTATGAAAAGTTGCATTATAAAAATTTTACAAAAGATTATATTTGTATAACAATGTATTAATGTGGAATATATTTGTAAAATATTTTTTAAAGTATTTTATATAAAATTACTTTGTACATTAATATAAAATTTATTCTAAGTAATTATTTGTTAAAATATGTAAAAAACGAGACAATACAGAGACTATACGCGGTTGGTAGTGCGTGAGTTTCGTTGAAATTTAAGATTTTTACGAAACTTAATTTTATGTGCACACAAGGCACCGGTGTTTCTTAAATATACAAAAACTAAACGCAATTCGCGATCTCAATTTGAGATTCTAATGAACAAACGAAACTCGTTAGGTTTCGTTCGTTCGTTAGAATCTCGAATCGAGATCGCAAATAGCGTTTAGTTTTGGTATATCCAAGAAACTCCGGTGCTCTGTGTACTTAAATTTTTTAACCTTATATACTAATTGTTTTATTTCATCTATTTTTTTTCAATTAATCGTACAATATGTATATATTTATTTTTTCTCTTTGGTATTGTTCCTTACTTGAATGACTTCTTCTCCCTTTATCTCATCATTATCCTCATTTAGATTCGTTCCAAATAATTGTTCCGAGAGTATATCGGACTCATCATTAACATCATCTTCATCATTTACGTCATTATCTACATCATCTTTATCATCTGCATATATCTTTTTAGATGTACTAGGTTTAGGTATATCTAAAAAAATTATTTTATTGCTATATTTAAATGTAATTTTAATATTGTAACCAAAAATATTATGTATTTAATTTAGTTATTTAATTCTTTATATTAAATCTACAAATGCCATATAATATAAAATAGATTTATTTGATTTATTTAAATTATGCATTTATTATTATGTACATTATATGCTAGGTTTTTATATATTAAAAGTTCCATTTATATCATATTAAATTACAGTTATATAATAGTATAAAAAAAAGAAGAAAAATATAATAAAATGCATAATTTATATTT